CGACTAACTAAATACTTATTTCTCTGGAATTGAGTTATGCTTAAGAAAGAGCATTTCTTTGTGTGTCAGTCTTCCTTTGAAATCTGGTTGAGGCTAGCTCGAAGATATGCACCCAAGGATGTAGGGCATTTTAGTTCAAGCTAATTACGATTGAACCCAAGATGGTGGTGGGCCACTCACATTTTTAATGTAAAGTACGGAGCATCTCTTTTGTCAAGTATAATGGGCCCCTCATGCATACCATAAAATTATTATTTCTCTATTTATAATAGAAGAGGAGCCTAAAGTTAAAATTTCCCTAATGGGCTTCTCCCATGAACCGGGCCCAATATCTTACAAGCCCTGGGGGGGGGTATAATCTCATCAATATATTTATCCACTGATTCACCTACGTAGTATTATTTATTTCATGCATCACTCATCATCCATCCATCACCCGTGATTGGAACGTGTGATATTAATTTTAAACACCACATAATTGAATATAGACTATATGAAGCGCAAAATATTAAATATACCTTTCAACAATAAAAAATATTTATACTCCCGTTCCTAAAAGTTTGTAACAGTTTGATTTGTTTGGTCAAATTGAGAATTTAAATATAATTTAAAATAATTAAATATTATAAAAATGTGATATTTTAGAGCTATATATTTCAAAATAAACCCAATTTTATTAAATTTACATTATAACTAAATGTATTTTTTTAAAAAAATTCACGGTCAAATGATGCCACAATTTGATAAAAAAATCAAACTGTGACAATTTTTTAGAGACGGATGGATAATAAAGAAGATAGAATCTAAAAGACAAAATTTTAAAAGTTCCCGAACAAGATATAAACCCCAAACAGATGACTCGAAACAACTGACTTTGCATAAAAAAAACATAAACATGTAGAAAAAAATTATCCAAATCTTTGCTCATAAAAACTCCAAGGACAATGCTCAAGATAAATAAATAAATAAATAAAAGAAACGGCCCAATAAATATGGAAGATGTCAAGATAATCTCCTATCTCAAGATGGTAAAAATTCATTTTCTAGAAAATATGAATGGCTCTTGGTTTGAAAGAAAGATATTTAGTACTCCTTCTGTCTCCTGTATTTGTCCACTTTCATTTTTACACACCATCCAATGCGCTTCTTTAATCCATTATATGTTAAAACAAATCAAACAAGATCACACATGACTATGCATGATTTTTTTGGATTTTAAGGGGGGTGTATTCAATCCAAACTTTGCATGATTTTTTGGATTTTAAAAGTCAGTGGATATTCAATCGAGATTTTTAAAAATCATATAAAATTTAGAGGTATTCAATTGAGATTTTAAAAAATCTTTCTAAATCTAATGATATTGAAAAGTTGATAGATTTTTAAGGATTGTTATAAAATATGGATTGTGATGGATTTTTAGCTTGAAGTATAAATAAAAAAATCTTTTGCAAATCCAACCAAAGCCTGGCGGATTTTCTCGAGTCCAACCAAACCCCAGTTCTCCGCTTATCTTCTTCTCCTTCTACCGTGGATCTTCTCGGCCAATCTTCTTCTCCTTCGGCCAATCTTCTTCTCCTTCTTCTTCCCCAAGAACTCATCTTCTCGATCTCATTCTCCGTGGGCGCAGGTTCTTCTCTTTCATCGTCTTCAAGCCTTCAAGGTAGGGTTTTCTCTTCTCAAACGCTCCTCCATCATATTCAAGCCTTTAATTTTTTGAGTGTATATGATTATGCATTTTTTGTGTGATTATGTTTTTTTGCGTTTTGTATATATTGAATTTGTTTACTTTTTTTTGAATTTGAATCAGCCTACATTGACCATGTTTATTGTATGTTCATATCCTCTGAAAGTTCCAAACAAACCATCTATGTTTGTAGTTCTGCTTCGAAACAGAAGAAAAAACGAGGAATTGAAGCTGTTGCATAATGTTTCATCTTTGTTGAAACCTGGTTCTTATTTTCTTGGTATGACAACCGACTCATCTACTATATGGTACATCACTAAATGCTAATTGCTTCTTATTCAACTTGTTTCTTGTTTGTTGTGTTACTTATGTATGCACATGCTTTAGGTTTGACCATATCATTCTGTTTGCATTTCTTTTCAAATCTCACTTGGTTGTACGTATTCATTTGACAACACAATTTGATTCATAATTTATTCATTTTAGGTTAATATTTTATGCCTTCTATGTGTTTGTAGAAATGTCCCCATCAATCGGAGTAGCCTATGGTGGTTTTGACATATTAGATTTACTTCACTTTATTGGTCTAATTTGATCATTTGGCATTTTAATTTACTAATAAATCACGTGAACAATGAAGTTTTCGAGAGCTGTATAGAATGTATCCTATGTGTTTCTTAAGCTATGTACCGTTATCAGAGAAGGCACGCCTTTAGAAGATACGCGGTATATTTGTGTTGAAGAAATGATAGCAACGTTCCTACTCATTGTGGGTCACAATGATCGGTATTGTAATGTTCGTCAAAGAACAGAAGCTAACGCTTGGAGACATGACATTGCTGAAACTATATGGGCCGATAGACCACAAAATGATGCTAATGAGGAGAATGAAGAAGGTTTTGGTAATAATGAAGTTGAAATGGAAGACTATGTTTTTTACTAATTTTATTTTTCAATTATCTTTTAAAATTTTGAATAATGTCTTCTCTTGAGTTGTCTTTAGAATTTTATTATTGATGAGTTTTGACATACAAGAAGAATAGCGGAGAGATAATAACAATTTTAGATGTAAAAACAAATTTATTGCTTATTTTATTCTAACAAAAATATATTACGACAATGATAATTTTTTAAAAAAATAAGTTATTTTTATTTTATTAGATTATTTTTAATTTTTTATCTATTTCATAAACAAAGTTTTTTAATAGCTAATTACAATAGTTCATGTTACAACAATGTATAAATTTATAAAATAATTCATATTTATGTATAAATAATCTATGGATTATAAACAATCAAACGGAATCTTATAAAATTCAGCTGATAAAATACATTAAAATCTATCAAACTCTGCATAGACTTAAAACAATTCATAGATTTTGCAGAATCCATTGACTTTAAACAATCTATCTAAATCTTTCATAATCCTAATTGAATACACCTCACTTAGGCTTACACATTGAGAGAATTTGATGGGTCAAAGTGCTTAGATGAACAGTTCCAAAAGTCAAATGTGGACAAATACAAGGGGACGGAGGAAGTAATAAGCAAAGAGAAAATATTATTAATTGAATCGAAAAAAAAAGGAACTAATTGAACTACTGATTACTGAAGGAGGATACATTTTATTGTTGATGGAGATCGGGTCCATGTGCTTGATTGGACGAGTGGGCTTGATGAGCCCATTCCTGAAAAGCCCGCGAGGAAGCGGCGAGACACGGAAGGGAAACAAATGGGCCGATTAGTTAAAGGCTTAGGCCTGTGAGAATCTTCTAGATTTAAAAAGATTGTGTTGTAATAGAAAATTTGGGGAAGGTATATGGTACATCCGGATGTACCTAGAGATAGGTACATCCCGGTAGTACTCATTCTGAAATAAAGTAATACTCATTCTCGTACAAATATAAACATTCATTTTGAAATACGTAGTATTCATTCTGAAATAAGGTAGTACTCATTTTAAAATAAAGAAGTACTTATTTTTACACATTTGTCTAATATAATTATAATAAATAGCGTAGTGTTCATTCTTTAAAAAAACAATACTCATTCTCAAATAAGGAAATGTTCATTCTGAAATAAAGTATTGTTCAATTCTTTTCAGTACCATCATCACGCTTGTTCATCCCTACCCCTTTTGGTCTGATCTTCGTCCGATTCATTCCAATCCCCAAATCTCTTCAACTTCTTCCGTCTGATCTTCTCCAGCTTCCTGTAAAGCCGCCGCCACATCGCCTTCCCATGTCGCCATTCTCTATCGTTTTCGCCTCCTCCCAATCTTCGTGCCTCCCTTTGTCGTCGCCTCTCCTTCGCCGACCTTCTTCGATCGTCACCCTCCTCTCCTCCTTCGCGAACTTCTTTGATTCTTCAATCCTGCATCTGCCGCTTATTTTCGCCGGCTGTACGGTTCTTCCCGTACAGCCGGCTGTATGATATAATTTGCGGAAAATTTGTGGAGTGGGACGTAAGAATATAATTCTAGATCCGATTGAATTGGGGTATGGATGCCTAATCTGCCTCCCTATAATATGTAAAAATTGTGAAAGAAATACTCTTAGAGGAATGGTATCAAACAGTTTATGGGCACAAGAGAAGAGGGAAAAATGAGTATATTAGGCTTGAGAATATGTAAATGTAAAGACAAAGAAGATGAGGCAAATCTCTGATATTATTCATCAAAGAGGAGTATGCCTTTTATAGGCTAAACAGAACAAGAAATTAGAATCTAAGTTTTCCACTACAACCACTATTTAGAGCATATCCCACTAAGCTTAAAAATAGATAAACACAACCAATTAGTCTATCTATCCCATAAGAATATGTAAGCCCAACTAAACAGTCTGACTTATTAAAAATCAAATGACTAATTAAAATAAATTGACTTTTTTCTAACAAAAATAGACCCCTGTTGAAGGAGAGGAATTCGAAAATTAGTTGATACATCAGTTTTATTTTTAAATTTGATATAGATAGATCGGGTGGCGGGTGATAGAAAACTTCACTCACATCCGGCCCGACCCATCAACCAATTCATCCATCATTAATTATCATCCATATTGTTTCGTACTTTTAACTGTTACAGCGAGTCGGGTGGGATAGATGTCCATTGCATCGAGTAGAAATTGTCATCTCTACTTTAAAGTCTTTTTAAGATATTTAGTTTGTTGGAAAGGCAGAGTGATGCTCAAAAACAATGTGTAATTAATTTGAGGGTTGCCAAGAGGAAAGTTAATAGATTAATGATCATCCAACAACAGGATATCAACCTCAACAAAGTCAGCCCAAAAGAAAGCCAAATTTTGCTTTGACTATGACAAAAATGACATAATGTACAGCATTGTCATAGCTTTGAATGAACCTAAAACATTGGTATGAATCCAACAAAAGTAAGAACTGATGTAAATACTCTCTGTAATATAACACTTTAGGCTTGAAAGAACTGATCTAAATACTCTCTGTCTCTGTATATAGAGATCAAAAGGTAGGTACAAAAGTTCAGTGAAGCACCAGCAAGAATTACAGGTATGCATCCAAAAAACAAGGCAATTCATCTTCCTAACATCCCTAAACATGACAAGCATTTTATATACCTGCAAAACGGGTGGGGGGATACCAGATTTTTACGTTACACATACTCTGGCCGGAAGGCGAATCCCACAAGCATGAACCTCTACAGGAATGCCTTCAGATGCAACTAATTTAATTGCTTTATTATCGTCTCTGAAGTGGTGAAATTTCTTTTGAGCTTCTAAAAGGCCATTGCCGATAACCTTTTCAACCCAATCCTCCGCTGCTTCTCTTCGGCCGGATACCCAAGCAGCTGCAAGTATCTGAGTCAATATGTCCACGTCGACTTCAAGAATCGCTTTTGATCCGAAAATCTCCACAAGCTTAGAGTTGATGCCCTTGAGAATTTCCCTCGCAAGAGCATCAAACTCAAAAGGCTTGAAGATCACATTTTCATCCGTTTGCTTCAAGAAATCATCCAACCAGGCTGTTGTTGAATCGTCAATATCTTGCTCCCCTTCTCTCTCTTCCTCCTCCACAGGCAAGTTCAGATCAAGACAAACTTTTGCGGCTCTTTTACAACTTCGAAACACATCTGTGTTGGAGCCGATTAGTTTTCTTTTGTTTGCAGATGAACTGTTTAATGTTTTGTTCCTAGAGGTGGTGATGAACACATTTGTGTTCTCGATTCGCATGCCACATGGACTCTGCGGTCCCACAAAGAACTTCATCTGAGAGTCTTTGGCTGCCAGTATGCTTTCTTCTGGAAACATGGGAGGATACGTACCGGTAGGGCAATTGCTTTGAGCCTTCGAGCCACTTGAAGCAATCACAAAAATTGTGTTGTTTATTCTGATTTCTCGCCCATGCAAGTTTGGGAATCTACCCGTTTTCAGAGACCGTGAGAGGCTACTCTGAACTAGAAAGTCAGATTTCTCTATATTTTCAAGAAGCACAACTGAATAGCGCTTCTTGCTTAGCTCGTCAGCGATGTAGTCAACAACTGTCTTTCCCCTAAGGTTCATGCCATGGCTTCTTAAAAAACCACAATGGTCGAACATAGAGTTAGATGAGTTATTAGTGTCATCAATGGAGCTAAGATCCACGAATAGCAAGCTATCCTTGCTGCCAAAGACTCTCTCGGCAAGCAATCTGGCAATTTTTCTTTTCCCCACTTTGTCGGGTCCGAGAAAGGAGAGCCATATATTTCCTTTCATTGGATCGTGTCCATTTCTGTGCTTTGATAGTGTTTGGCTAATGGCATGAATTGCTTCATCTTGCCAGTAAACAATCTCGGCAAGAGATTCTTGTAGGTACTTGAAGTCTTTTAAAGCCTGCCCATCTCCCACTACTTGAGGAATCAAACTAGTTTTATCAGAGGAAACTGGACAAGAGATATGCCGAGGGAGGTCTTTAGGATCTTCGAAACTTGGTTCTGGTTTCTCTTTTTCCATGGTTACATATATGGTTCCCAATCCTAGATCCGTGGATACATTACGGATCATTGGCTTGGATGGGGAGATACTTTGATCACTGATCCTACTTTCATCTGATAAAATCAAATCTTGACTTTTACTTTCACCTCTAGTGGAAGGCAAAACATTGGGTTGAGCTGGATGTGATTGATGAAGACGTTGGCAGATATCGTTCCACTTCTTTTGCAAACCCACAACTTTGATGTTGAAAACAATGTCATTGTTGGCCTGCACTGCAAAATGATAAAGTACATGTTCACACAAATGTTTCCCCAATTTTTAAGGGCGTGTTTGGTTGGGAGATTTCGGAGGATAGATTTTTGTTTTTCTAATCTCTCGACTTTTGTTAGTCTCAAACTAGAAAATAAGTAAATAACTACTCTGTAATCTATATATGTTTAGTTAAATCGTGTATTTCTATATAATTTTTCAAAGTGACATTTTTCTAAGCATCTAAATGTAAGAAAAATAAATTAAAACGGTGTATAATAAATATCACTCTTCCCCTTCCCTTCCACTCAAAATCCCCTAATCAAACAACTGATCAAAGGCAAAGGGTCGATTTTGAACCCAGAAAAATGTATATGAAAGAAAATATGGAGAAAATTTAGGATGAAAGAAACTGTTGAGGAAAATAAGAGATAACATAGCCTAAAATTGTACGAGTAACTTTTTCTTTTGGACATTTCTTTACTTTATAGACTAAAAAATTTGTGTGTGTGTGTGTGTGTGTGTAATTTCATAAAATAAATGATCACGTTTCGTTTTCCTTTCACTCTTCAACGCAAAACCAAACATAAGAAAAAGATTTTCCATTGTTTCCTAGCATTCATTGGAATCCAAACACGCCCTACATAGAGTAAAAAGCTTTCCAGTGAAAGATTATGATGAGTTTGAGTGACACACCTCTACCCCAATCATTCTACTGCTTGGTCCGCAGGCAGTCATTTGTAACCAAGGAGGGACGTTTCCAGAATGCTGATCAGCAACGGAATTGGAAGTCGATCCTTTCAAAAGCATGGAAACTTCTCCCTCATACTTCTCATTGCAGAGGTTGCAACGAGCAACGGACTGGTTTATGTTGCTCTGTAGATTCTCATACTCTGATGGTGTTGGAAAGAACCCAGCAAATGGAACAAATGAGCCCATCAAGCTGTAAGGACAGATTAAAAGATCAACTTTGATATCCACCAATGGAGATGAAATTAAAGTTCAGGAAAGGACAATGAACCTTACAATTTCAAGTAAATTTGTTGCCATTCCAAGCTCATATTAAAACAGAAACAAGAATGGTTTAAAGAGAAATGACAGAAGACATTTTGATGGTTCAAAGATTTCAAGAATGGACTGACTTTCTAATTAATACTACTGGTTTTGGTAAAGTCGTTTGAAACAAGACAGTGAGGCTTTGTCCTATTCATCATCAGCCATTAAAAAAGAAAAGGTTAGCATTAAATCTCCAAGGCTCCATGTGACAACATAATAAACAATTAATATAGGTATACCAGAAGCAGACAGGCAGCTTACCTGGACCTGGCATTAAATCCTGCTGAACTGGTGGTGATGGGGAGAAGATGCAAATCCCAGTCCTTTTGAACAGAGGGAAAGTTCTCCAAGAACTTCATAAAGATTTCATCTTTTCCAGCAGCTCCAACCAGCCACAGTTTCCCACCATGGATTTCCACCAATCTGTTCATCTCTGAAACCAAATACTTCGCCTCTTCTGTTCCTTCCCTGTCGACAAAGACCTTCAAATCGCCATAGCTGACCACCACCCCCGGCCCTTTACAACCCTCGACCGCGCCGCTCAATTCCTTGATCTTCAGAGCTATGGAGGGCTTTTTGCTCTCGCCGTGCCGGAAAAACTCCGATATCTCCTCTGCTATGCAAATTATGCTCAATCCCCTGATTTCACGGGGAAGGACGCCATCTTCACCCTTCTTTAGACACTCTGTGAAGTTATCCAGAGCTTCGTTTGCGAAGGACCCGATTAGTAAAGGGTTTCTTGAGTTTTTCCTCGCCAGGACTTCTCCAATTCTTCTGGAGTTCCCGTCGACATTCTCGTTTTGGGGAAATGTGGAAAATGGGAAATTGAAGGGGCGTCTGTTGAGCTCATAATCTGGTGATTTGCAGAAAAATTGGGGCGGGAGCCAATCCCTAGGGAATCTGGAAATGGTCGGGGGATTGAGAATCACGAGCTTTATATCGAGACTCCCGAAACCCGCTTCTCCTAGGACCCGGCTCACAATCGGGTCATCCAGGATGGATAGCACAAATTGCTTCAGCTCGACTCTGAGAATCGAAATCTGGGGAGACGAAGACGGACACTGGCTCTGCAAGTGCTGGTACAGGTGGAAAGTGTCCGGGTGCCGCCGCTGATTCGCCTGCGATCGCTTGATTGCGGCCATGAGCGAGTTGGAAATCGGCGGGTCGTCTAGGGATTTGGTGGTGGGCAGGCGGTCGAGGGACACGCCGACGGTGAGCTCCAGCGCCCGGAACTGCAGCCGCTGCGAGTACGCGCAGCTCCTCGCCCGCGCGCAAGCCTCCCGGAGCAGGGAAGACGGCGGCGCCAGCAGCGCCGAAACCGCGTGCAGGGAGGTGGTCTGCGCGTGGGTCCGGCGACGGGCCACGTTCACGGCTTCGTCAAGCACGCGCGCCGCCTCATCCGTCAAATACTGCCGGGCCGTGCTCACCGGCGTTGGCATCGCCGGTAAGCCTTAAACGAGAATAATAGAAATGCAGGCCCCCATCTGCAATTAAATAAAATTCAGCATAAAACTATCTTTGTCAAGAACAGTTCGGCGTACTACTTTTATAGTAAAGGTTGCTTTTTGAATTGATAAATTTGCAGAAAGTCTTTTTCTTTAACCAAAAAACTCTGTACAATGAAAAGAACAAATACTCCGCATAAAGTTCCATTTTTATTACTCCCGTCCCCAATTTGATTACAAATTGCGGGTTATGGAGTAAAATTTTTTATTTTTTAAAATTATTTTATTTACAAATTGGTATATCAATAAGATACAAAAATTACATATTAAAAAACTACGTGAAAAGTTCTACAAAACAAGAGGTGACAAGAATATTTTATTTTATCAAATACTTAATGAAATCGCGTAAACAAACAAAAGTTATCGAGAGGAGAGAGAAAAAAAATTGTAATCCATTTAGAGACGGAGGGAATATTACAAATAACTCTAAGAGCACTAGTAATGCTCCCCACGCTCANCGGGGGGCATCCACTCCAATGCGTTCGTGGCATCCGGGCGACCTCCTGGGACACCTCAATTGCAAGATTTGATGACGATTTGCAAAACCCCCAATTTTGGACCCAATTTCGAATTTTAGGGTTTTTCGAGTAGAAAAATTCAGATTCGAGAAGTTACAGGCCAAATTAGACAAAATGGTTTGGATATTATTGATCCTCGTCTCAAGACGAAGAGAATGACATTGGTCCCGCCGGAATCGGAAAAAGTTCATTTTCCGGCGACTTTGACCGGCGGGCGGCAGCGGCGGGGCCTAGAAGAAAAGAAAAGAAGAAATGGGGTCAAATTGAAAATTTTAAAATATATAAAAATTCGAATTTGGCCATAATGACCGGAAGTTAACCTAGAAACGGGCTAATGGCTCATTAGTGAAAGGATTGTGTAAGTTCAGGGATTTTTGTGAAAGGATTTGAAGTTCAGGTACCACCTCGAAATTCCAGCTAAAGTTCAGGTACCATTGGTGAAATTTACCCCATAAGTATAGAAATATGATCCTCATATTAACTATACTGTAATTAGCCCAGATTGTGCATCATTAATTAGTTAAGTTTCCAAACTTAATGCCAAACATTGTGCCCAGAAAAGTCTTTCAAATCTTAGCTGCGCGGTGGAGCTTTTAGATCTACTGCAGAGCTTTCCAATTTGCAAAAGAGCTTCTAAATCAGTTTTTAATTTCTTCACCCCTTTTTCTCTATCGTACTCTGATCCCCTCTCTCTTTTTTTGCTGAGATTGAATTACGTCCACCTGTCTTCTTCCGCTTTGTTCGAAAAAAACAGTAGATGTGTTTCCAATTCCTATACTTTCGGGTATGGTAGGAAACCATTTAATGCAGTAATTAATTAATTGGTTAATTAATCATTCATCTCCTTTTCACACTTGTAAAAAAACAAGATTCAAGAATTGGAAACGGATCCACTGTTCAACTCCGGCCGCAGATCTGCTCTGACGGAGAAAGGGACGGTGGGGGGGGGGATGTTGGGCTTAAAGTTGAAGAAGAACTGTGTGGGCAATAGGAGGGTTGGTCCGCAGGAGCTAATGTGGAAATAGAGGGCGAAATTGGAAAGTCAGAGTAATTTTTACTCTACATTAAAATCCGTGCCAAGTCAAAACGAGAAGTTTCAACTTGGACGGAGGGAGTAATTTTTAACTTTTTATCATAAACGTGCTTATGAGTTGTTTTTGTAATGGTGAAGCCACATTATATGAACTTTTTCTTGGCAAAGGAATTGCCACTGGGGGTCTAGCGCAGCACGGATGCAAGGGAAATCCCTGACCAAATGTGTAAGATTTTTCATAATGTGCTCATGTTATTCTGTAAATATTAATAGTTGATTTGGGACTGTATTTATTATATGCTTATTTTAAGACAATGTGGGTATTATTTTAACATGGTATTTTGGCATCATTTTTGAGTTTATGAACCCTTAATTAATTTATGTTTCTGTTCATCACTTATAATGTCTGTGATTGTTCTCACTTATTGGCTTATCATTGTATTATGATGTTTTTTTTACTTCTCAAGATTTTGCTGACTAGAGAGAAGGTATTTTTACTGCTTCATGATTCAAATGACAATGTAAGTTAATCTAATCTCTTATGGTCTCTTTTTAATTTTTTTATGGTGTCTTTTTTGAACTTGCTATTTGTTATACTAAAAAAAGCACTTAGACAACAAGAATTGGTTTGGTGTTGTAACAAAAAAAAACCTTCAATTAGGCAACGAGAACTGGTTTGGTGTTAGAGGGTGTATATATGTATCATTATCCTTTTCAGGTGTCATGTGAATAAGATCTCAAAATACTTTAGACGTCACATCCTTATGTTGTTGTTCTTTTTTGTTAATGTAGGCTTTGTATTTCTCTGTTCAATTTCAGAAGCAGCTGTTTGAACACTATTCAAGTATCAAAATTTTTGCTAATGCAGATGAAAGTCTCTTGACATGGAGATTTATTTATGCAAGTAATGCTTGATGCCCTTTGATAAATAACATATATTTCTGGGTTGAGTGTCAAAATCATTACTTCTTAATACATCATTCCTAATGATATTGTCTATTTCCAATTTTCTTTTCATTAATAGAACAACTTTTAGAAGAACATTGTAGTCTCTCACTATTTTTTTCATCTCATGGAAATAGCTTTTGGTCAAAGTCATTGGCTTGATCTATGACTATGATGTGGTCACTTAGTTTTTACAAGAGTAATTAAGAGTAGTTGCTTGATTTTGGGTGTTGGAATATTGATTTTGACACAAGTTTCTACTCATGGGTTTTTATGGCCATGACAAAGGCAGATATCAGTCTTGACTAATGGTAATTGCTACTAGCTTGGTTTGCTTTGATGCTGGTTAGTTTAATGCCCAATTGGGTAGGGCATGTTTTTGTAAAAATAGGGCAAGTTTATTGACTTCTACTAGGATTTTAGTTTTACTTTGTTCGTTAGCTTATGTTGCTTTTTTAATAGGACCAAGGCTGTTAGGAGACTTTGTCATGGTACGGTATTTGGCTTATTGATCAGGGAATTTTTTATCGTTTCTTCCCCTCAACCCGGTTTTGGTCATAACAAAATAGGAGTTACATTCCTATTTTTAGAGGGGATTTAATTTAATCCTCTTTTATATTTTTAATTTTTTGGCATTAATAAACTTTACTATTCTTTATTTTTCTAAAACACATTAACAAAATGGTGATAATTGACATCCAGGGGCATAACAGGTAGTAACTAATTTGCATACAACAACCACGTGCATACATCCCCAGCCCGTGCGAAGCACGGGGTAGACAACTAGTACATAATTAAACTAAGGGATAGAAAAGCATATGCACTATATTATAATACCTAACTGGCTAACCATCTTCTGCAAATAGGCATCCAGAGTGTGAAATATTATACTCTCTCTCCGTCCCTAAATATTTGCCACATTTGTATTCCCAAGGCAAAATATCAAGTTTTTTCAATTCATTTTATTTACATATTGGTATAGAAATAAGAAATAAAATTTACATATCAAAAAACTACATGAAAAGTTCTTCGAAATAAGAGGTGTAAGGAATATTTTATTTTATTAAATAACCAATGAAAACGTAGAAATAAACAAAAGTTTCCGCGACTGCTGAAAAAGCTAATGTTGCAAATATTTTGGGATGGAGGGAGTAGATAATAAAGCCTGTAAGTGAGTAATGTCCACTGGAAGTTTCATCTGAAACAATTGATCCACAGTCTGCATGTAAATCAAATATTGAAAAAATAAGCATGTAAATTTGAAAGCACAGTACCAACAAAAGGGACATTTTAGTTGCATATAATCAAACTATCGAAGTAGAAAATAAAAATAAGCAGGAGTAGGAAACCACTTTCTAGCTAGCTGATAAAGAAAGGTCTTCACACAAAGTGTGCAACTTATTTTGGCATGGACGTAAAAGATAGAAGGTTGAAGATGATAACTCTTTATGAGGAGTATTGAATATTTGAGTACAAAAGCTTAAAAAAGGTATGCCCACACTGAATACCATTATTAGTTGCAAATCATGCAATTCAATAGCAGAATAAAATTAACACTAACATGGTAGGAAAAGGCACACCTCTTCTGTGATCCTAAAAACTTCCACCACAGAAGCTGCTTGCTTTTGCTGATGTGATAAGGGTTCCCAATCCTGCAAATTGTAGTCTATAACTCATATGAATGGTGTATCTGATGCAGAAAAAAGAGGGAATTTATCGGGTAAGGAATTACACATGAATAAATAACTTTCAGATTTGGTAATTCCACACTTTCATTCAATGCTACAAAGGTTTATATACTGCGCATATGATAGAGTGAACCAACAAAACAAAAGAACTAATGGGCCCTGTGCAATACAACAAATAGGCCCGAAATAACCCAAGTACAAAATAATTCCAACACTCCCCCTCAAGTTGGAGCGAGTAGATTTCGAATGCCCAACTTGCTCAGTAGCAACTTCAATTGCCGCACTCCAAGAGCTTTTGTGAACAAATCAGCTATCTGAGACTTTGAATCTATATTCATAGGTTGTATTTCTTTGGACTCAACCCTCTCACGAACAAAATAACAGTCCATTTCAACGTGTTTAGTTCTCTCATGAAAAACTGGATTATTTGCAATGTGTCTTGCTGCTTGATTATCACAATAAAGAGGTGTGGGTCCATCTGGGTATACGTCTAACTCTCTCAGTAGCCATCTAGCCCATATGATCTCACTAACAGCAACTGCCATAGCTCTGTACTCCGCCTCTGCTGAAGAACGAGATACCACAGATTGTTTCTTGGATTTCCAAGAAATTGGAGCACCTCCATAAAGTAAGAGATAACCACTCCTTGACCGCCGAGTATAAGGACATCCAAGCCAATCTGAATCACAATACGTTGTGAGGTCAGTGCCCCCTTCCTTCGGTAGCAATATCCCCTGACCAGGTGTGGTTTTGAGATATCGGAGAACTCTAATTGCAGCATCCATGTGGTTGCGTCTTGGATCAGCCACAAACTGACTCAAAACATTGACAGAGTATGTTATATCAGGTCGCGTGGCTTGAAGATAAAGGAGTCTTCCCACCAACCTTCTGTATTGATTTGCATCAACTTTGTCTTCCTCCTCTCCTTTGTCAATTTTCAAATTTTGCTCCATGGGAAGAAGGCTTGGTCGGCATCCTTCAAAACCACTATCCTTAAGAATATCCAGTGTATACTTCCTTTGACAGAGAATCAACTCCTCAGATGTGCGAGCAACCTCAATTCCGAGAAAGTATTTCAGAGTGCCAAGGTCTTTAATACTAAAGTCCTTGTCAAGATGGTCCTTCGTATGTTGAATCTTCTTCATGTCATTCCCAGCAATGATGACGTCGTCAACATATATCAAAGCAGCAACAAAAGTCCCTCCTTCTTTGTGTATGAACAATGAGTAATCTGCCTTTGACTGCTTGTAACCAAGTTGTATGAGGGCAAAAGTGAACTTTTGATACCAATTGCGAGAAGCTTGCTTCAAGCCATATATAGATTTTCTTAGTCTGCAAACCCTAGTTTCCTTTTCCCTTCCAAACCCCTGTGGTATCTTCATGTATACTTCTTCTTTGAGGTCACCGTGCAAGAAGGCGTTGTTCACATCCAATTGATGGATAACCCATCCACGCTTGACTGCAACAGCGAGTAGAGTGTTCATGGTTACTAGCTTCGCTACTGGCGCAAAGGTATCATGATAATCAATTCCTTCTGACTGTGTATATCCCTTTGCGACGAGCCTTGCCTTGTACCTTTCAATATCACCATTTGGTGTGTACTTGATTTTGTACACCCACTTTGAATCAACAGCTTTCTTTCCTCGTGGGAGGTTCTCAAGGGTCCAGGTGCCATTCTGCTCAAGGGCCCTTACTTCTTTTCTCATGGCTTCCTTCCAATTTGGGTTCTGTATAGCCTCATAGAAGTTCTTTGGCTCATCATGTGAGTTGATGGCCGTCAAGAAAGCTTTGTGGGTGTCAGAAAATTTATCATAAGAAACATAGTTAGCAAGAGGATGTACCGTCGAGGTGTCTTGACTGGAATCTGGGTGTGCATGGTCAACCGATGGGGGAAGCTTCACTTCATAATCATTCAAATAGGCTGGACGAGTTCTGGCCCTTTTTTCTTTAACTGGCTCAAGTTGTGGAGGTTCTTCATCTTCAACAGAAGGTTCATTGCCTGGTGGTTCAGATTCTATCCTCTGTTCGTCGTGGTCTATGTTTTTGTCACCTTCGGTCGAACTATCTTCTTCACTTGGGATTTCTTGTTCCAAGTGTTCATTGTGTTGGCTAATGACATTTTCTCGTTCAATAGTTACTCCCCTTGTTTCGTTGTCTTCTTTATTCTTCCCTTGTTTCTTCAAGGTCTCATACATGTAATCAAAAATCTGCCCTTCAACATTTTTATCTTGTTCTTCTTTTGAGAAAGGGAAGACTTCTTCCACAAACTTCACATCTCTTGAAATGATAATTTTCCTTCTTTCAAGATCGTAAATTTTGTATCCCTTTGTTCCATGGGGATATCCCAGGAACAATCCCGGCTTTCCTCTTGGTTCAAATTTATCTCCCTTTGTTTCGGTGTTTCTATAGTATGCCAAACAGCCAAAAGTTCTCATGTGACCATAGTCAGGGAGTTTCTTGAACAAGATCTCAAAGGGAGTTTTGTCATCTATAGCCTTCGAAGGTATTCGATTAACTATGTATGTTGCTGTCAGAATGCATTCTCCCCAAAAACGTGTTGGCAGGTGAGCCTCAAAGCGTAATGCCCGAGCAATCTCCAGGAGATGTCTATGTTTTCGTTTCACAACCCCATTCTGTTGTGATGTATGTGGACAAGTTGTCTCCAGGGCAATGCCCTTATCATTGTAGAACTCACGCATCTGATTCGACGTGAATTCTCCCCCATTATCACATCTAATTCGTTTTATGGGTTTTCCAAATTGTGTTTCAATCATGTTGTAAAAACTCATTAAATAAGCACTGGCTTCACACTTGCGTTTGAGTAGGTACAACCAAACAGCTCTACTATGATCGTCAACAAGAGTCAAAAAATAATGGGCTTTAAACAAAGATGGAGTTCTATAGCCTCCCCAAATATCACAATGCACCAAATCAAAACAACTTTCTGTTTTTGTGATACTAACTGGAAAAGGCAGCCTAGTAAATTTGGCCTTGATACAAGAGTCACACATCTTATTCTCTAAAGTCACATCCTTGAGAAAATCAACTTGTGATAGTTTAATATTTGAGGCATGTCCCAGTCTCTTGTGCCATAATCCAAAATCAACTGCAAAAGCTTTTCTTCCCTTCTTCATTTCCCTCATTCGGTAAAGGCCTCCACTGCACCTACCCGACCCAATCAAGTTCCTCGATTTCAAACTCTGTATGACAAAGAAATCCGGGAAAAAGGTTATGGCACAATTTAAATCTCTAGTTAGTCGTCGAACAGACAAAAGATTGTATTTGAAATTTGGAACAAATAGGACTCCATTGATTTTGACTCCTTTTAATAATAGTTCCCCTCTTCCTTTAACTGGAATGGTAGCTCCATTAGGGATAGTGACTGGCATCTCCTGTGCCTTTGATGTGGTGTTCTCAAGCAGATCACCTAGATGGGTGACGTGCTCAGTCGCCCCACTATCAACAATCCAATCACCTTCAACTCCAAATCTACCTGTCATGTTGGCTATGGGGGAAACTTCTTCGTTTGTGAGACCGCTGCCCTCATTGAAGTGCCTCAAGAACATCCTGTATTGTTCCTCCGTCAAGCCCGGTATGGAACTGGTGCCCATCTCTGCAACAGCCACCTTGGGCTTGAGGCCTTCTTTTTCTTTTCCTTTTCCTGGCCACCAATCTGGGTATCCGATTCTTTTGAAACAACCCTCACGGTTATGTCCATCTCGTCCAAAAAAGTTGCAGTGCTCACCTCTTTTACTGAAAACATTCTTGTCCCCTTTGTGCCATGGTTTCTTCTGTTGCTGTGTGTCGCGTCTTGTTGGCACAAAGGCTTGAAAGGCTGCAACTTCCTGGGAAGAGTTTGAGTTTCTGGAGGTGGCAACTTGTCGTTGTTTCTCATCCTCGGAAACAAGGTGATAAGCATTACTCAGACTCGGTAAGGGTTTTATGGCCAGAATCTGAGTTCGTATAACTGCAAATTCCATGTCGAGTCCCATCAAGAATTCATACAACCTCTCCTTTTCGTGGAGCTCAACAAGTTTCTTCCCAATTTGACAAGTGCACCCTCCACAGGAACAGCGTGGAATGTGCAGAGCAGATTGGATTTCATCCCACAGTCCCCGCAATTTAGTGAAATACGCTGAGACTGAAGCTCCATCCTGGCGAGTGACCGTGAGTGATTGTTTCAGCTCATATGCTCTTGGTGCGCTTTCTTTCCCAAATCTTTCCATAAGATCGTTCCACATCTCAGAGGCTGTGTTGGTGTATTTGACACTGCTGCGAATGTCCTTCTCCATTGCAGTTGTGAGCCACCCCTTTACCATGGCGTCACACCTCATCCACAACATATAGTTTGGGTCTGTCTTCTCGGGTTTTAAAATTGATCCATCGATAAATCCAATTTTGTTTTTGGCAAACAAGAAATTCATCATTTCTTGAGCCCAATCGCTGTAGTTGTTGTCAGTGAGGGCGTCGTTAACTTGCATCTGTTTTGGATAATCCGAGGCATGGATGTAATAGGGTGAGTTTGAATCAACCGATTCTGCCTCCTTCTTCGATACGTCGCCTTTGTCCGCAGCCATGGTAGATGATTAGCTATTTTAGGGTTTGTATTTATGGCGGCTCTGATACCATTTCAGATTTGGTAATTCCACACTGGATTATGCTATGTGTACACCAAAGTTTGTACCCCAATTTGTACCCCGCAGTTTTGCACCAACACTTTGTGTAGGTGTAAAACTAATTTTTGTTAAACGCACCAACATTTGTGTCCGTGTGAATTTTTATTAACGCACCAACACTTGTGTCGGTGTAAACCATCGAAATGTTTGTGCAAACCTATGGTGTACAAATGGAGTATATATTTTGGTGTAAGTGTAGCATGGTCCTTCCACACTTTCATTCAATGCTACAAAGGTTTATATACTGCGTATATGATAGAGTGAACCAACAAAACAAAAGAACTAATGGGCCATGTGCAATACAACAAATAGGCCCAAAATAACCCAAGTACAAAATAATTCCAACAATAACAAATATATCCAATTGCCATTTTCACAATGTTACACTTTTCAACAGGTCAAGAAAACAACTAAAGCAGTTAGTTGATTAATGAACCCAAACGCATTGTGCATAAAACACGTCTGTTGGTGTGAAGCATGGAAACATCAGATAAATTTTATGCTAGGTGTCATTTTTTGAAAGTCAAGTTCTTTACAAACCTCAAGATCAAATGCACGGCCAGTCCACTCCAGAATTCGTGCATGTTGAGCAATTACCCAATCAAGAATAACTGGCCTTGCAACCTCACCAATCTGCCAGACATAAATGAAAATGTTATGTGGCAGTAATTAGAAATATACATAGAGAGAGTTGCAAATGAAACAAGGAATTCATTCTTCTCGATGTTTGCTACTATTTAAACCTTTGATGTGATGCGATTGGAATTTGGAAAAGCATATAAAAACTACCAGACTTTGCCAGACCCTTTTCCCATCTAGGAGTTACCAAAGCCCAATAATGATACTTTGGTTAAATTAAAAATTTAAAAACACAAAAGAAAGGTGCACAGATTATGTTCGGTCAAGGCTTGGTATTCATATCTTCGGTCATGGCTTGGTATTCATTCTTCTAGATGTTAGATACTATCTAAAATTAAGCCTTTGATGTGATGCGATTGGAATTTGGAAAAGTATATAAAAACTACCATACTTTACCTTTACCAGACCCTTTTCCCGTCTAGAAGTTCCCAAAACCCGATAATGATACTTTGGTTATATTAAAAATTTAAAAGCACAAAAGAAAGGTACACAGATTATGTTCGGTCATGGCTTGGTATTCATATGGTTGTGTGAATACTAAAACAATCAGTTGAATTTCACATCTAGAAGTTTGTGTGTGCACGCCATAAATCATAAGTGCATTTTGCACACTCCTATTATCTTTTCTTTCATAGTATCAGTCTAATCTCAATCCATCAAAAGCCTTAGCTTATATCTCTCTAAAGAATAAAACAAAAATGTTGGTGCTTTCCTCTTCTTTGGCGTGCACAGTATCCTGCAATTTTCCTTAGGATTCTCCTAAGTACTGCTCAGAGCCTTGAAATGAAATGCTCACGAGTTTTATTATGCCTGTTGTCGTCAGTTCATGATGACAAGCTAATTAGTTCTGTTTGTCTTATGGACTGTAATTTGTATTTTAACCTATTTCCTTGACATTACCATGGGAAAATTAACAGAGGGTGTTTTATCACTCTTGGGTTGCTTGAATCAAACTTTGGAATAAACGCAAAGTCAGATCGCTTGACGAAATTTTAGGACATAACTAAAAAAGACAGGGTGGGAAAAGGTAAATGTCGTGTCATGTCATGTGATATAATATAGCAGTTTATTGGTTCCGAAGTCCATATCATTTAGAAGGCTTGCAAAGTGTCACGAAGTTTGGGTCAAGGTGAAACCTCTCCATGCCAATGATATACTGATAATATAGATGTAACACCCAAACCCGCGTAGCCCGAACCGATGAGTTAGCGAGTCGGGTTGTCACTAATTTGGTATTCACATGCATAATATTTTAAAACATTTAATAATAAAATATCAATTCACATTTATTTTAAAACAATTCATAAATAATCCGAGTAAATAATTCAAACGTTGCGGAAGCTTTTAAAACAACAACGTCAAACATTCTTGTAGTTTAAACAAAATAAAAGTCAACAAGTATTTAATTCAATTTCAACACAGCTCCGGGCCATCCACCAGCATCATGTTCCACTGTTCTCCAGGCTGCTCCTCATCAAATCCTTGATCCTTACCTGTAAGAATAAGGAGAGTGGAAGTATCTAACGCTAAAACTAACTCATAGGCTAGCACCCACTAATATATAATCAAACAATATCAGATGAATTAGCAAATATCGTTATCCAACTATACCACTATTTATCCTTACAACTCAGTTTAGTTCTTACGCATAGTTACTCCATCAGCCTGATAGATATAATCCAATTCATACCTATGGGAGTAATGGAATCCAGGCTATCACCCAAACCCATACTCATAACTCCAAAGCTCTCGCAATGGAGGGGGTTGAGGCCCCCGCTGGCTCTCGCCAGGGGTCAATGACCACCGTGCGCACGTTTTTAACCCTCGAGACCATCAGGTGTACGACGTCACCTGCATGACCTTAATTTCTAATCTCAATCCTATTGCTAATTCCAAATTCACCAATAAGTTCCATGTTGTGACAAACCCTCTATTGAAACACATTTTATTATCAAGATAAATAGAAATTGATTTGTGGTTTTATTTAGATTTGGGGTCAATGTACAGCAAAATATGGTGGCCAAAGTAGTATCCCATAAACCATGCTTAAACTATTAATAGGAAAGCCAAGAGAAGGAACCAGAACACAGAGCAGATCAAACAGGGACAGAGCAGAACGGAATTGGGTATGGAAGGAACAGAACAAAACCCGAATTCCAATTCTAAACCCGATTCCAATTCCAGATTCAAGCATAATCATTCACACAATTCAACAATCATATTTACAAATTCAACGTTAATTGGATGAGAACATATTAACGAATCCTAATCCATGAATCAATCTTAACGAGAGATAAATCACTCACCTTGAATCGGCTTGGAAACCTCAAACTACACCGGCGAATTCTCCACGAAGCTCTGGCAGGTTTGTCGCGCAAGGAGAAGAAGATGGTGGGGGGAGTAAATTATATACACAGTTTAATTGGGTTGAAGTTTGGGTTTTTCTCCGTTTCGGAATTGGAACAGGCGTAGGATTAGCTTCAATAATAATGTTATTATTATTTAATATTATAAAATCTTTATATTTATTTATTGAACTGTAATGTCTATTTTACTGTTCACGATTTACACAAAAATTCAAACTTAACAAACTATATATCATTAGTCACCATTTTACGAGATCTATCCGAAAACTTAATTTTTAATTAAAATGGTCAACTTTACAAATAATTCATATTTTGAAGTCAATAAATAATATATTCATTTTTATTAAAATAACGACTAACTACTAAGCCGGTTTCTAGGGCATTACAATATAGCAGCTCATTCTCTGGTTTTTCAGAATGACCCACTTCAAGTGTGACCCAAGTATGATTCTGTATGAATGTGCAATTTTGTCTTTATATAGTGGAAGCTTTTCAGAAAAATCTGGTAAGCACTTGCCAGAATTATATCTTCCTAATTCTGACACTAACAAAAGAAGCAATAGGACAGATTCTTCATGGAATTTGCTTTGGCTATTCTCCATCCAGATATGGTGCATGCTAATGATCATATACTTACCAAGTCTACAATTTCCACCTTGACAGCAATTTTTTTCAAGATTACTTATGTTACGATCTACACATGTTGATGAAGCTCTTATATATTAGGCAATCACTGATTCGTCATTAATTTGATTCAAGAGACAAGTGATGATTGAGTTTTGCCTAAGGTTATACTACACGTAACTGACCCTAGCATACTAAATTTCATTGTCATAATTTGGGTCAAACCGGATATAATTGGTTCATGTTACTTGGCAAACCATCACATTTTATCAATGCTGTTCAAGCGCCTAGCTCTGAGTCACTGGATTAAGTAATCTGTAACAAGTTTGGAGTCCAGTACATTTGTGCTCCAGCTTGAGAGAGTAACTTAGTTAGCCTAGGAGTCAAATGGTAAGCGTAAGTTAAGTAGTCCTCTCTTGCTATTATATTTGTACACTTTTACTGTTGACCATCAAAAATACATCTTTTGATTCTACAATCTTATAAGTCAAGCACTTCCAAGATTTTTGCATTGAAGTCTCATATATGTTGATTCGCTGCATATCTTTGATACTGATATGAATTCACTAAGATTCCTTTTGTATACATTGATGCTTTCCTTGCATTTCAGCTTTAGATCTTTCAAAGTTGCTCAATGAAAAGGAGTATCTCTATGCCACCTTAAATCCCCAAAGCCAACACTCCTTTTTTATTGCATTGTAAGATGAATTGCAAGTCCAAAAAGTATGACCAGCAGTTTAAATAATCCCTTATAATCCATCCACGTTGCAACTAAACAATCCCTAAAAACATGGAAAGGCTCAGTAACCCACCACCTCCCACAAATTCTTTGGGTCGAACAACAAAAAATGGGAAGCCATAACACTCTTTGTTCTGTTCTTGTGAGGAGATATTCAGTATTCAACTATTCACTAATACTATGTGAAAAAGAATGAATATTTTGCCTCAAAAGTCAAAATATGAACATTTGCCTTAAGGCCTTAACAAATGTTACATAAATAGTAAAGAATCAATTAAAGCAAATACTTGCCCAAAATACTTAGTGGTTTCCAAGATAAACGGACCTTGTAATACTCAAATTCATTTGTGCGAGCAGAATAGTGAGCACTCTGTCTTTTTCCCAAAGAATAAAGCTCAAATAAGCAATCTTCCAAGAGAACAGCTGCAGTAAGCACCTCCCTGACACCTTCAGAAAGGCATGATACATCATTGAGGAATGGTCCCTAAGAAAAAAGGGGAAAAGAAAGATCACTCTGCTAACTAACAACAAGACGCTAAATACGAAATAAGATACATAAACGAAAAGAAATTACCAATCTTTCCCCATAAATTTTGTGCAATTTCAAGGCAGAAACAATCCCAACTTCGGGACAAAATTGTTGGAGGATAGGATAAAATACAGCCATCTCCTTCTCAGAAATAAATTTTAGCTCACTAGCGAGCACAGTCAAAGGATGTGTCTTATCTATTCTATGGCCATGACCTATGGAGTCAGTTACCTGAGATCATTGAGATTGCACATCAATGTTTTACATAAACTAATTGGTCTCAATATAAACATGTGTTTGCATAGCCATTCTTATAATACCCTCTTAGAAACAGCTTCTATCGAACTTTCAACATAATCTTTGACCTTTCTGTAACGAGTACTATCCAGAGCTTCAAAACCTGTGAACTGCAACCACAGATTTAGTTTGACAACTTGTTATTTTGCTAAGAGCCTGAGAACACATTATACTCTTCCAGTTGACAAGAGAATACCATAGTATTGCATTAGTAGGTCCCACTCAAAAGTAGGGTGTGGGAGGTGTGATCTCATAAAGCACACAATATCCCACAAATCATGCCATGAGGTTTCCACAATGGAAGGGAGTGTGATTGTGAACATTTTGTCAGAATTCAAAAACAAAATGGAGATCCATGAATATAGTTGACCGAAAGAAGAATGATACGATTATACGTACAGGATATAGCAATAAGAATTAAAATTTTACACTTGTGAGGAAGGCATCTTCATAGAAAGAATCTATTTATGGCTTGGAGAGTTGGGATAGAAGTAAAGTCTATGCACATTTACTCCCCACCCCCAAGGAGCCTACTATATAGTGGGGTATATAAGAAATCTTTGCCTTGGTTTGGTTATTTTTGTCAGAATCGTTTGATGGATGATTATATTAATATGTTTATGTCCTTTCCCCTTGTGTGGAATTAGCACTTTACAATAATAAGTTTTAGTGTTCTATAGACCTAAATTGTCTAAATCAGGTATACTACTTTGTTCTTGTCACATAAATTAAATAGTATCATGTGCTTTCTCCTTTTCCCTACTCTTGTGGGATTCGGCTGGGTTGTTGTTGTTGTTGTTCTTTTCCCTTTTGTGGAGTTAGCACTTTACAATAATTGCTTATTGTGATTTAAAGGCCTATATATATGGTCCATACCAGTATACACTTATACTACCTTGTTCTTGTCACATGATTCAAAACTATATGCTCCAACCATCAATGCCATGCTCATCACCTCATTGAGGAGAGAAGGTTTCTGAAAAGTAGAAAAAGTTTGTCAGCTGGAAAATGTTACATCCTGGGAGATAACTTTCCAACTACACCCACAGTTCCACACAAAAATGTCAATAAAGGAAACAAACCAAACCAAACAGACAAACCTCAGTAAAATGTAGATGATAATCCTGCAACTTGTTGTCACACCACATACTGATGGAAAGAATAACAGATAGCAAATAACTCAATCTAGTTGGACAGCCCTTCCAGGTACAACAACAACAACAGCAACCCAGTTAAATCCCACAAGAGTAGGGTCTGGGGAGGGTGTGTGTATGCAGACCTTGCCCCTACTCAGAGTAGAGAGGCTGTTTCCAAAGAGACCCTCGGCTCAACGTCGAAAGTTGCATTGCTCTGTATATAGTTATCTTCCATATGGTCATCATCTTGAGCAGACAAAACATTCCGCATTGCATGAATTGAGTAGTCTAAAAGTACTGCCTCATTTGTTGCAACAAACTTTAATCAGCAAGAAAATGAATCAGAAGTCTTGTCAAAACTCTACATAGTAGAAATGCAATATTAAACTGCATCCCAGAATTAGGCCTTGTTCTTTTGGGTTGGAATTTCAGAGTTGGATGTTAGAAAAACTGAATAGAGTTAGAAGAAACTTGAAAGAGATGGAAAAAACTAGGAGTTGGAACATGTTGGAAGAATTTAAGGGTTAAAAAGCCACTCAATTAAATATTCATCCAATTAAATATGTAAGAAAACTCTAATTTTGGATAAAAAAGAATTCATGATTGTCCGTGTTTGAGATGATATATTATAAATTTGGATTAATCATATATACATACCTTTTTAAGTCGTAGTTGGAAGAAACTAGGAGTTGGAAGGAATTGGAAGGAGTTGGAAGAAACTGGAAGGAGTTTGAAGAAGTTGGAAGTTAATTTTTCCAACCCAAAAGAACATGGCCTTAAAGGTACACAAAATATAGCAAGGATACAGCTATAACTACAACAAAGCCTTAATCCCAAGTAACTTGGGGTCGGCTACATGAATCAAAAGGAGAATCATGTTAGGCTATTCACAAAAATTGCTCTCTCAACATTTCCTTCTATCCATAGCAAGGATACATATATACATCGTTAAAACACAAACAATGAGTACATTCCATTATAAATGGTGATAGATGAATAACTAAATTAAAGTACAGGATGCAAAAAAGTGCAAAACCAGTACAATTTTACGACAAAGACAACAAGTAGTCCGAGTACAATTCCAACTTCGTTTGGATGGGGGTCAAGATATAAAGTCTTACCCCTATGAAAAAATGAGCCTGGCTTGGTTTGACCCTTATACATTGCTGTATTTATTATGCAAAACTTCATAGAAAGTAAGAACAGAAGGAAGTATAATGTGTCATTTTTATTTAGTCCACTATTTACCAAAAGCCAAAATATTGTAAATAGTGACTAGTTTAGGTCCACAAGCAATGGACACAAACAATGAAATTTTACAAGGTCAAATAATGTAAAATAGAAATAGAGAAAAAGTGTGAAGTCATTAATGAAGAGAGCCGCATCATTGAACTAAGGCTACCTTTATTTCTTACTCTTGAGATTAAATATATAGTGCAGAACATAAAGATAAGCCAAACTATTTAGGCAACACAAAAATTCTGGTGCATAGTTTGCTACCTGTTGAAAAAGCACCCATGCATGTATCACGTTATGGAGTTTCTGAGTAATGCCTAACATCGACCAAGATGACTTGAGTAGATTGAGGATTTCACCAGCTTCCTGAAATAGATCAGAATCAGAAATGAAGATAAAGTTGTAAATACAGCAATATGGAATACAAACATTAATACTACACCTCTATAAGGTGGTCATCTTCAAGAATGTCAAACAACCCAACAAGTAGCTTCTCATAAATCCTGATATTCAACTGATAGCCAGCACTCCAATAATAACTTTCCCCCAGAATTCCATACTTTGGTGGCATGCTCGATAATGTCAACGCAAAATGACTAATAGTTGATAGGACTTCAAAGCGTTCAGAGGGAGACATCCTAGTGTCCCAATCCTGAAGCACAAACAAATCTATTTACTTCAAATGAGTAAAATTTCCATCAAGAACATGTAAGGATTCAGGTGTACCTTGGGATTTCTGATTCTATCAATCAAAATGTCAACTGATTGCTTCTTATCATTGACATACTCAGCTGAGGAAAGAAGTTCTTCAAGAATGTCTGCCTTCAATAGACCACATGAAAGTTACAAATGCAGACAATAGGACATGAACTAGTAAAATACTGAGTAACTTTAATCATATGTTGCCTTGTGAGAATATCATAGAAGTCATTACTGATAATTTTATGTGGAACGCCAAACACAATTTCACTATCATATGAACAAATAAAAGAAAAGAAGAATTTAATAAAAGTAGAGAATTAGAGTAAATATGTGTTGAGAGAATGATGGAAATGCCCTGGTGTTGAACCACTTAGCTTGCGCGCGCGCGCACACACACACACACACTTGTTCTGACTAGAAAATGGGTTGGTCCCATATAATTAAAGCTAGACTAATTAGGGTCAGGGCTAAATCATTCTATTATCTATCGCTCCCCTACAACTTGGAGTATAATACTTATTATGCCGAACTTGCTAAAAAGATAATCAAGCCAATTCCTACTAAGTTCTTTAGTGAACAAATCCACTAACTGTCCCAGTCAAGTCTTCTTACATGCCTTCTTGTATCTTTTCTCAAACAAAATCGCAATCAATCTTAATATGATTTGTTCTCGAAAGACTATATTAGATGCAATTTGTTGAGCAATCCTTTGCTGCAGATATGGTACATGATAGGGTGCAATGGCGTCGTTTGATCCTGGTAGCCATCCTAATGAGATAAGACTTTGTTGTGGTGTTGAGCGGCCTCGATAGATGGTGCATTCACCTTATCTTACATGCACATTGTGTCATAGCATGATACTCTGATTCTGCACTCGGATGAGAGACCACATTTTGTTCCTCACTTTTCCATGACATGAGATTTCCACCAACAAAGACACAATAGACATTAGACAGTCTAGATTGTTGCCCACCCTTGAAGCTAGCCCAATCAACATCTCAAAAACACTTTGTATTTGTCCATTATTGGGATAAACAGTACCATGTCCTGATTCTCCAAGTAACACAAAATATGTTATGCAAGACTACGGCAAACCAATTATCAACACTTGGGGAAGTCATATATTCAGTTACTGAACAATTTAACCAAACTTATATACCACTCAGGTTCCTCAAATGGAACTTCCTCTTGACTCTTGGGAGAGTAATATTACTAATATACATTAGGAATCATGGGAATACTATATAGACTTGCACCAAACATTCCAGTCTTTGTCAAAATTATATGGAATTCATATAGAGCAAAGCATTGAAGGTTCGGATTAATTTTGGGCAATAAATGTAGCAATGCATGGTCAATTAGTTTGTGTACATCTTGTGTTAGGATCGAATCAAGAACACTCATAGAAATCCGATGAAGAAGGTGAAGAAAAAACGAGAGAGTAAAAGTAGAGAGAAAGTGAAACACGTGAAATAACGTGGTAACACCCCGTGAGTAAACTTCCACGGCGGCTAGATGTGTTTATTGATGATTTCAGGCAGATACACTTACAGAGAATTTGTCTCTTGCCTCTCTACAAAAAATTAGCTACAAAGGAGAATATATATATATAGGCATTACAACCTCTACTTACTTAACCATTAAGAAAACTTAGTCATTAAGCAAACTTAGCCATTAAGGAAACTTAACCATTAAGAAAGCTTAGCCATTAAGTAAACTTAGCCATTAAGCAAACTTAACCATTAAGCAAACTTAATCATTAAGCATCAGGCTCCATAACCTAACAATTCTCCCACTTGGAGACTGATCCAATCATCTCAGAAATTGCCAACATCATCAATGTCTTCACCGCACCGCAACATCTGTAGTGAACAACTACAGAAGACCAACCGAGGTCTTGCACAACCCTAGTTTCCCAACATCAACATGTTTTGTCAACATGTCTGCCGGGTTCTTTGCACCCTCTATCTTCTCCAAGCTCATGTCACCAGCCTCCACTGCCCTGCGGGTGAAACGGTAACGTCTTCTGATATGCTTGGTCTTCGAATGATAGACTGGATTTTTCACCAATTGGATGGCACTTTGGCTATCTGAGTAAAGGATCTTCTTGCTCTGCTTCTTTCCCAACTCTTCCAGATAGTCTGACATCCAAATCATCTCTTTCTCAGCTTCAACAATTGCCACATATTCAGCTTCAGTAGATGAAAGAGAAACACACTTCTGAAGCTTGGACATCCAACTCACTACTGTTCCACCTATGGTGTAAATGTACCCAGATGTACTCTTGCTCGAGTCCACATCTCCACCAAGGTCAGCATCCACAAAACCCTGTAGAATCACTTCACCTTTGCCAAAACAAAGTGAAGTGCTGGATGTACCTCTCAGATATCTCAGAAGCCACTTCACAACTTCCCAATGCTCTTTCCCAGGGTTCGCCATGTACCTGCTAACAACTCCCACGGCATGTGCTATGTCAGGTCTAGTGCAAACCATAGCATACATCAAACTCCCAACCGCCGAAGCATATGGAACACGTGTCAGGTGCTCTTGCTCCTCAGCCGTCTTGGGTGACTGCTCCCTTGACAATTTCATGTGATTTGCCAACGGAGTAGTCCTGGGTTTAGCATCATTAACCTTGATTTTAGTCAGCACCTTCTCAATGTACTGCTCCTGAGATAGAATTATAGTGCCAGCAGATCTATCCCGAGAAATCCTCATCCCCAAAATCTGCTTTGCCGCACCCAAATCCTTCATCTCAAATGCTGAAGACAGCTTTGCCTTCAGATTGTTAATCTTCCTCATGTTTGATCCTGCAATCAACATATCATCCACATACAAGAGTAGAAAGACATAAGAATCAGTGTATTTCTTGAAGTAACAAAACTGATCCTTTTCAGCCTTGTAGAAACCACTCTTGATCATGAAGGAGTCAAACTTGTTATATCACAACCTTGGTGCTTGCTTTAGTCCATACAAACTCCTGTTGAGTTTGCATACCATGTGTTCCTTGCCCGGAACAACAAATCCTTCTGGTTGTTGCATATAGATCACCTTGTCCAGATCTCCATGTAAAAACGCTGTTTTCACATCCATTTGCTCTAAATGCAAATTCTCTGATGCAACAATACTCAACAGAATTCGGATAGAGGTTAACTTCACAACAGGAGAAAATATTTCAGCATAATCAATACCTTTCCTTTGTGAATAACCTTTAACCACTAACCGAGCCTTGAACCTCTTCTTCCCATCTGGTTCAGTCTTGATCCTGAACACCCACTTGCTCAACAAAGCTCTCTTCCCAGCGGGTAACTCAGTCAACACCCAAGTGTTGTTCCTCTCAAGGGAGCTCATCTCATCATCCATGGCTTGCTCCCACTTGACTGAATCCTCCACTTGTATGGCCTCATCAAAGGACTCTGGTTCTCCTTCATCAGTTAGCAACAGATAGTGTAATGAAGGTGAATACCTATCTGGTACCCTGCTAATCCTGGATGATCTCCTCAACACCTGCTCAGGTGTCACTTGCTCCACCTCAGGTTCTTCATCAATAGTGTCTGGAGTTGGTTGAGTTTCTGCTTCAACATTTATGGGAGTACTTTTCTCCAACTCAACCTCAACTCCCACTTGCTTCGTACTCTCTGGAACCTTCTGCTCTCTGTCCTTGTACAGGATAGACTCATCAAATGTCACGTCACAATGTCTCAGGATCTTTTTGTTCTTGTCATCCCAAAACCTGTAACCAAACAAATCAGAACCATAGCCTATGAAGTAACACTTCACAGCCTTGGCATCAAGCTTATCTCTCTTCTCTGGATCAACATGAACATATGCCGTGCAACCAAAAGTCCTCAAGTGTGAGTACTTGAGTTCTTTTCCGGTCCACACCTCCTCTGGAATCTTGAACCCCAAAGGAACCGATGGTCCCCTGTTGATCAAGTATGCAGCTGTGTTCACAGCATCAGCCCAAAATGTTTTGGGCAACCCACAGTGTATCCTCATACTTCTTGCACACTCATTCAATGTTCTGTTCATCCTCTCAGCAACTCCATTCTGCCTTGCCTTACCAGGAACTGTTCGCATTAATCTGATTCCCTCAGCTGCACAGAATGCCTTGAATTCTGACTTGTCATACTCTCCTCCATTATCAGACCTCAGACACTTGATTTTCAGTCCAGTCTGATTTTCCACCTCAGCTTTCCACTTCTTGAAAGTCGCAAACACATCCAACTTATGTTTCAAGAAGTAAACCCATAACTTTCTGCTGAAATCATCAATGAAGGTGACATAAGATCTTGATCTTCCAAGTGATGCGACTGGAGATGGTCCCCAAACATCAGTATGGACCATCTCCAACCGTACTTTCTTCAGCTCTCTTGGCGTCTTCGTGAAGCTGACTCGTTTCTGTTTGCCCATAACACAACTCTCACAAAGACCCATATCAACAGACGTCAAGCCCTCCAATGCTCCTTTTGCAGCCAGCATCTTCATTCCTTTAACACTCATATGTCCAAGTCTATCATGCCATAGACTAGAACTAGAAACACCATCAGCATCAGCAGCCATGTTAATACACCCTGCAGTGGTGTACAAAGTTCCAAATTTTGTGCCTCGTGCTACAACCATAGCACCTTTCACAATCTTCCAAGAACTTTTCCCAAACTCTGCTGCATAGCCAGTGTTATCCAACTGACCAATAGATATCAGATTCTTCTTGAGACCAGGAATATATCTGACATCTTTCAATGTCCATTGATTTCCCGTTGGTGTTTTTATGGAGACATCCCCTTTCCCTTCAATCACCAAGGCCTTGTTATCAGCGAGATACACCTTTCCAAAATTTCCAAATTTGAAATTTTGGAACAACTCCTTGCTTGGTGACGAATGGAAGGATGCACCAGAATCCAAAATCCAGGATTCAACTGGGCTACACTGAGGATTAGAGCATCCCCAATATCCTCAGCTGAATTTACAGAATCACCGTCATCTCCAGATTTCTGATTCTGCTTCTTCTTTGGCTTCTTACAATCCGCCTTAAAGTGCCCTTTGTCTCCACAATTCCAACAAGTTATATTGGATCTATTCGGAGACTTGCCTCGATTCTTTGATTTTGATCGGCCATGTTGATGTTGGCCCTTGAACTTGCTTCTACCCTTTTGGTCAACGCTGAGAGCACTACCCGATGAATCACCCATTTCTCTCTTGCGAATACTTTCGCTAAGAACAACATCACGGATTTCATCGAACCTCAGCTTCTCAGACCCACGAGAACTACTAATTGCAGCAACAACAGTATCCCAAGACTCGAGCATAGATGACAGCAAAATCAACGCCTTAATTTCATCCTCAAAATTGATTTCCACAGAACACAGTTGACTCACAATCATATTAAAATCATTTATATGATTAGCCACTGATCCACTTTCAGGCATCTGTAAATTGAACAATCTACGCATCAAATATACCTTGTTCATCGCAGATGGTTTTTCGTACATATTTGATAGGGCCTTCATTAGACCCGCAGTAGTGTTCTCTTTCACTATGTTGAACGCCACGTTNACAGTATCCCAAGACTCGGGCATAGATGACAGCAAAATCAACGCCTTAATTTCATCCTCAAAATTGATTTCCACAGAACACAGTTGACTCACAATCATATTAAAATCATTTATATGATTAGCCACTGATCCACTTTCAGGCATCTGTAAATTGAACAATCTACGCATCAAATATACCTTGTTCATCGCAGATGGTTTTTCGTACATATTTGATAGGGCCTTCATTAGACCCGCAGTAGTGTTCTCTTTCACTATGTTGAACGCCACGTTCTTCGTCAAAGTCAACCGGATCATCCCTAATGCCTGACGATCCTTGAGCTTCCACTGCTCCTCTGTCATGGAATCCGGCTTCACCCCAGTCAAGGGTTCGTGAAGATCTTTCTGGTACAGATAGTCTTCAATCTGCATCTTCCAGAAACCGAAATCAGATCCATCAAACTTCTCGATTCCAACCTTCGAACTCTCCATCTTCAGTGATCGTGTTGATTCTCCTGAGCTCCGATACCAGTTGTTAGGATCGAATCAAGAACACTCACAGAAATTCGATGAAGAAGGTGAAGAAAAAACGAGAGAGTAAAAGAAGAGAGAAAGTGAAACACGTGAAATAACGTGGTAACACCCCGTGAGTAAACTTCCACGGCGGCTAGATGTGTTTATTGATGATTTCAGGCAGATGCACTTACAGAGAATTTGTCTCTTGCCTCTCTACAAAAAAATTAGCTACAAAGGAGAATACATATATAGGCATTACAACCTCTACTTACTTAACCATTAAGAAAACTTAGTCATTAAGCAAACTTAGCCATTAAGGAAACTTAACCATTAAGAAAGCTTAGCCATTAAGTAAACTTAGCCATTAAGCAAACTTAACCATTAAGCAAACTTAATCATTAAGCATCAGGCTCCATAACCTAACATCTTGATCCCCCAAATCCCTAAATACTTGGGACTATAATGGGTTGCTATTGTTGTATATGAAACTCATGCAAAAAGCATTTCTTAAGAGAGACTTCCTTGAAGGACAAAATTAGTAACTATTACTTGTCTGCTCTTCCATAGGATATATGACTTCTCGTTCGGAAAATCAGACTTGAGCATTCCATTCAAAAATCCAAGGATGATTTGGGGAACATCAATCTGTTCCCGAGCTCTCCCCGCTGCTAGAGCAGCCAAACATTGTCCAATAAGACTATCCATGGCTTCTGAGATCTAATTAATAAGAAATACTAGTTATTCCAGAAATAGGAAAAATTAACAAGTATACAACAAAATTTAAAAGAAACAAAACTAGGTAACACCGTAAGACATCTGCTGCCTCTCTTTTTCTAATTGATATTCAAACACTAATCTAACCCCAAGACAATGAAAATGTTCACACATAATTCAAAGCACCCTACATAATTTTAAACTTATAACCACAGAAGAATCCTAGGTATTCATAACCATACATAAAAATAAACAGATGACGAGAATTTTAGGTGTCAAGGTAGTTCTTTGCAAGTCACACAAAGTTTACAATTTCAACTCTTCAAGTAATATCCCAAATACATCACATTTAAGTATGATAGAAGAAATGAAGAATATTAAAAAACAAAATCAAATCAAATGAAAAGCAATTACATGCCTGCATTTGTGACCGAAAAATGTCAATGAGCTCTGATGGCCTATCAAAAGAATCGGGCATTGGATGCCTTTTACCTCTTTTATTCTTCAACCCAGCCAAAAATCTAGAGTTCTTCTTTCTATTCTCATTCAAATGAAGTTCCATCTTACTAGTACAAAAAACATGGATTTAAGACAAGAAGCAAAGTAGTAGCAATCGCAATGCAAAAGTGCAAAACAAATATTTATATACAAAATACTCCACCGTCCCAAATTAAGCTTCCGGTTTACCTTTTCAGTTTGTCCCAAAAAAAAAATCTGTGTTTCCATTTAATGAAAGATAATTTTGGTTATTTTATTTCACATTTCGTAATACGTGTCTAGTCAAAACATGCTAATTATATTGTATTGGTACACAGTGAGTATTTGGAATTCTGATGTGCTGAATGGTCTGTCAAAGTATGAAAACAATTTTAAAAATTACCCCAGTATAACCCCAGCTCTATAGGGGTATGGGGGTCAAGATGTTCGCAACCTTACCCCTGGGAAAAAGAGAGAGGTTATTTCCATTATAAACATATTGCATTGCTTCCCTAACTGCCCAATGCATTTAAAAACAAACATATAAATGAAGATGTAAATTGTAAAATATGGTGGAGCAGTTACTGTTGGGATTTTAAGCGCGTAATATACTGAAAAATATTGAGAACTTGAAAAATAAACAAGCACAATACACAAGAAGAAAATATGAGAGAAAAATTATATCTTCACTATTTCAGAACGATACACAAAAACTCTCCCTGTTTACAAGTGCTAAATACCAGACACTTATAAACAGACTTTTCACACCCTACACCCGGATGTATTTTTCCGAGTAACTAAAACCAGTTACTCCCTACACTCGCTCACACAATGTTGGTGATATCTTGTGTAGACCTCTCTCTTAACCTTCCTCTTTTTTTCCTCTCCCTCTCTTCCGTGTTGTTCCATGGCTATTAAATAGCCAAAAACCATAATAGTGGGAATATTAGCTGACAACTCCAAGAGGAAGACAACAAAACTCCAAAAAAGGGCTCTCCATCATTGCAGCTCATTTCTTGGTAGTTTCCACCCAGCAGCATCTCATTTTTTTTCTTTTTTTTTTCTTTTTTTTTTGTTTCAATTATTTAATCAAAAATATCTCAACAAACTCCACCTTGATTAAATAATAAAACTTGGTCCGGCTCCACCTCACTCGTTCCGGCGAGGTCACAGTTTCCACCAACTGGAGAAGCTTCAAACGTCACCCGCTTCTTCCATGCAAATGCTCCGCTCGTTGCACTTGTAATTTTTCCTTCTGACACATTACGTGTCAAATCTTTTTCAACAAGTTTATACAAGCCCTTTGACAAAACTCCTTTTGCTACCACCATTGCTCCCCTAGAAATTTTTAACACTCCACCTTGAGCAAAAATACGACAGCCTTCTGAATCTAAAGCCCCCAATGAAATCAAATTTCCTTTTAGACCCGGTACATGTTTCACTCCAGTTAATGTTCTCAGCACGCCATCAAACATGCGAACTTGCACTGTTCCGACCCCTGCAATTTTGCTCCGTGCACCATTTGCCATCTTCACAGCACCCCCATCACAAGTTTGATAGGTATCAAACTTTTCCTTAACTGAACACATGTGAAACGAACAACCCGAATCTAATATCCAATCTGATTTACCTAGGCTCTTTGCGGTTGCCAAAAATAAGTCTTCTTCACTTTCTTAGTTCGAACTTTCTGCAACCGCAGTCACGGGTGTTTTCCCGTCCTTCTTTTCCTTCCTCCTCTTTGGACAATCCCTTTTGAAATGACCCTCTTCATCGCAGTAGTAACACAGAAAGCTTTTACTACTCGATTTGAAGCGTTGGGACGCGCCGCCCCTCTCTTTAGACCGTCCTCGTTCCCGACCAGCTCCTTTTGCTACCAAAGCTTGACCGTCATTTGATACCCCGTTGCCACCCCGCCGAGTCTCGTTCATCAACAACGCAGCAACTACTTCATCAAATTTTAAGGTCTCTTTTCCAAACAAAAGCGTGGTCACGATGTTGTCAAAAGATGAAGGCAATGAAGCCAACAAAAGCAGCGCCTTGTCCTCCTCTTCAATCTTCACATCAATGGATTCCAACTCTGTTGTAATCTTGTTGAATTCATCCAAGTG